CCTAAAATCCAAATAGAAGAAAGAATATAAAAATTGGTTTTAACATGAGTTCACAGGTTGTAAATGATGGAAATAGTTTCCCCTCTGAGAAACCATGGGTATGTCCTTCCCTTATGGTCATATAGTGGTCACGTATATATGGTCATGTAATCTTAGGTGATCGTATGACTGATCTCCAGTCATAGACATGGAAGAGAGCTGAGAGGTGATCCAGTCACAGCCCCTCCTTTTGCAGATCAGTAAACTGAGGACCAGCTGGTCCTTGTGCACTCATCCTCTGGCTTCAGGTCTGGAACTCTACTTCTCCACTGCCTTCCTCCTCATTAATGAGATAAACCTTAGGTGAACGAGGTCCTTGCAAGGCTTGGGATTGTGACATTCATAAATCAAATTCTGAGAGCAGATTTTGTCCTAACTGTTGAACGTATCTCTTTTAGAAAGGGATTGTTGTTTTGGTTTTGGTTTTTTCCCTACCCTGGGCCAGAGGATTTTCTGCTCAACACTGTCTATAACGGCCTTGGGACTCAGCATGCATTTCACTATTATGTGGTGATATACCCTTCTCTGTGAAAACTGGGGGACAAAGGGGAGGGGGATCATCTAACAAATGACAGACTCCTCAGTAACTCCCCTCTCCCCACGTGAGTAAGGGTAAGAGTCCCGGAATAGACCCAATTTCTCTCTTCCTTCAATTTGGCTGAGTGTGACCGTTGTGGTCTTGTCCACAAGCCGGTTTGAAGAACTCAGTTAATGTGAATGGGTCTATGAAGGACTGAGTCTTAATGACAGTTAACAACAGGAGATTCCCCACTCCAAAAGTGTAGTATTGAGGGGTCAGCATCCCCCTGGAGTATTTCATTCTGATCAGATCTGGGCTTTCATTTCTTGTTTTTAAAGGTTAGGTCTCCTTATATCACTCAGGCTAGAAATCCTACCCTGCTGCTGTGTTCCTGTTTACTCTTCCTTAAGTAGCCTGGCAGCTTCCCCATCAGGCCCTTCACCATATTAGTGCTAAGCAGTGTGGACGCTGGGTCAGCATAGCCCCTTTGCGTGTCAGAACTCTGGGCTCAAGATGACAAGTGTCAGCTTCTTGGGTAGCTGAGATTACAGGCTTGCTCTACCATACCAGCTTGGCCAGGCACTGCTTGGCCATTGTTATTGAATGTTTTGAAGGAGTTCTAGAAAATGAACCCTGAATCCCAAAATACTGGAATTCAAAATACTGGAAAATTGTTTTTCCAGACCTACTCCTGAGGATAAAGCATAACTAGCTTATTTTTACATGGCAGGGAATAAATGTTCAGAACTAGTGATTTTCAGAATTGAGACAGGGAGAAGGCAGAGCTCAGTGGCCATGGTCCATACAGTGTTCAGAGATAGAGCCTTCAGCATAACCTCAGGCGCTGAGATTCTTCTCCCAAATTGTCAGGCTAGAGGATGAAGCCTGGGATTCATGAGGAATGGCAATAGGAGGAGATTGAGTGTGGGGAGTTGGCCAAGATGTACATTGCATTCCCTGACCCCAACACCACTGGAAAATCCCAGGGCAGGCAGAACTGTGGCCTCATACCCCCCAGCCCTCCAGTGCCTTTTCTCTGAGTTTACCTTCCATCTACAGCTCTCCTCCCTCCCTCTCTCTCTCTCTCTCTCTCTCTCTCTCTCTCTTCCTTAATTCCAAGAAATTTCTCTGCTCAACCAGAATGAAACAAGTGATTAGACAGCAAAGAAAGGATATGTACTTTAAATACTGAATTCAAAGTAAATAACAAGGAATTAAATGAAGCAAGACACATACAGAGAGAGAGAGAGTGTGTGTGTGTGAGTGAGAGGATATGTATGCATTATAGTATTTCTACCTGTAGATATATTGGAAAAGGAAATGACAAACCTCTTCAGTGTCTTTGCCAAGAGAATCCCAAATGGACACATGTAGAGTTGGAAATGACTGTAAAACAACTGAACTGAATGTATGTGTGTGCATGTGTGCGTGTGTGTGTGCGTGTGTGTATGTGTGTGTGTGTGTGTGTGGTGTGTGTTCAATGTGCCTCATTATTTACAAGCTGTCTGGGCCATTAGAATGGAATCTCCTTGAAGGCAGGAACTTTGGTTTTTTGCCATGGTGGGGGAGTGGTATTTCCAGTGCTTAGCACGATGCCTAGTACATATTAAGCCCTTAATAAATGTTTGGTTGATTGACTTACTGCCTGGGGATTGTTCATCCTCTAAACCTTGATCCCTGTTCCTAGTTCTAGAATGTGTGACACTGAACTCGGAGACTAGGACTCCTGCCTTAGGAAAGTGATGAATAAAAAGAGAAACATCTATGAGTACAAGGCTGTGAACCCTTTCCAAATCTTACAATTGAGGACTCCTTGCTTTGGCTTCTCCATGAGCCTATACAGCTATATCTCTCCTTCTAACAAGATAGGCCATTTTAATTAGACAATTGGTATCCAGTGCATGAACTAGAAATATTAAATAAGAGGAAAATAAAAGGGATGAGAAGAAACTAGATCTGAAAATATTATGCAAGTTCGGTTCTGCGGCCCTGATCTCATTGGATCCAATCCATAGGTTATCCATCTACAAACAAGCCAAGGTCCTTAAGCAATATTTTGACTGCTTTGTAATAATCCTTTTTGTAACTCGCTAATTTATGTAGACTACAAACAGAGATCCTGCAATATTTCATATACAGTCAAATGAGTTAATAGTAATCAAAACAGTAAATAGACCTTGTAATCCACAACTATTAGAGTGTTGTGCAGGAACAGAGAGAAGACATTGGAGATGGGCAGGAAGGGAGAGAAATGAATGTTCAACCCAGTCAGTCCCTGAGAAGGAAGGTGAGCCATCTATGATTGAATGCACTTTTATAAAGGACGTGTAAAAGGGGTGAGGGAGAGAGACGGCCCCTGTCTTTTAATGTTTACTTCTAGGACAGCATTGATTTGCCCATGGCCTGATGTGGGCAGTGTTGCCTTTCACTGGAGAGTCAGGCTAGAAGGTAATCAGGTGACACAAAGTCTTGCTGAGAGGCAGGCTCTGAGCTGGAGGAGCAGAGGGAAACCAGGGGTCTGGAGTAGGAGACAAAAAGAGGAAAAGCAAACATGAACTTCTTTGAGGCCATGATGAGGTTAAAGCTAGAGCAGAAGTGACAATGGGATCTTCCCTCACCACTGCCACTCCAGTTCCTGAGAGAAGTTAGCAAATGTCTGCATGTCTGGTGTCAAAAAGTAACACCATCAAGACATAGAGGCTTTAAAGATCCCCAGAGTTGCCTTCCCTATCTCCCCGATCTGACTGAAGCTGGTTGGGTCTTCCTCTCATTGTGTTAAAGGTTCAGGGGGAAAACTCAGGAGCGAACCAACTCACTGCCTCTGGTCCATTCAAGAGTGGGAGGTGATAGCCTTGGGAAATGGGTGGTGAAAGTATTTCCTTGCTTCACTTAATTCCTTGTTATTTACTTTGAATTCAGTATTCAAAGTACAAGTCCTTGCTTTGCTGTCTAATCACCTGTGTTTCATTCTGGTTTGAGCAGAGAGAGTCCTTGGAATTAAGGACTTCTGAGCTGTTCATTGTAACTCATGTTTACCTCTTGAGTGCCATGGACTTGGGAGTGGTTAAAATTTGGACCTAGCTACAAATGCATATGGCCTTTGATCTCTGCTCCTCCAGGAATGTGCCTAGACCCAGAGACAGAGTTGAAGCACCCCCCCAAATCCACAATCTTCATTCTGTATCTCAAGCAAATCAACCGCACTCAGGAGCAAGGCATCGCATGAGGGGAAGTAAATAAAGAAGGTCTTTGTTCAAAATACCCAAACTTCAAGGTTCACTCCAGAGGCAAAAGAGACTGAAGTCTGCAGGCTGGGTCTGTGGTTGAGTGGATCTGAGATGAATGGGGAATGGTCAGTAGTACTGAGACTGTGATTTAACAAAGAAAGACAACTCTTGGCCTGGGGGGGGGGGGGCTGCCGGGTCTCAGTAGATAGATGTTGCCCAATTATCTGAGTTATTTGTTCACACAGAATGAACATAATTCCTGCGTCCCAGGAGTTCTCCCTTTTCTCTCTAGAATGCTTTGTTCCCAAATGTGAAGCCCCAGAAGTTTTCTCTTTTTAGAAGGCTTGGTCCCCAAATATTGGGCCCAGGAACGCTTTTCATGGTCAATTGCATGAGAATACGTGCAACTTTTATCTGCATTTGACCCATCCTTTACTCAGTTGTCAAAATGAGATTCCTAACCTGCAGATCTAACCGTGTAACCCCTCACGCACAATAAACTCCAGTGGCTCCCTATTATCCTGGGGGCTTCCTTCAAGTCCCAGCTAAAATCCCACCTTCTCCAGGAAGCCTTTTCTGTGCCCCCTTAATGCTAGGACCTTCCCTTTATGGATGACTTTCCGTTTATATATCTATATAAACCGTCTGTATTTTGTCTGTACAGCGTTAATTGTAACCTCCCCCATTAGACTGTGAACTCCTTGAGGGCAGGGGCTGTCTGTCTTTATTTCCCCGGCGCAAAGTACAGTGCCTGGCACACAGTGGCACGTGCTGCTTCAAGCCTAGAAGCCAGCTTCTGCTCCCAGGACAAGTGGAGCCGTGGGAGACTGCCCGGAAGTTGCCATGGCGACAGACGCCCAACTGCCGGCAAGAAGGGAGGTAAAGAAGGGAAGGGAGACAGACCGAGAGCACGGAGCCCATGATTGGTGGAAACGCACGCTGTGTCCCGCCCCACCTCAGCAGAGGACCGCTTGGGAGGCGAGGAGAGCCGGGAACTTAGGGGAAAGGGGCGGAGCCTTGGGGACCTTTCGTGATTGGGCGGCCGCGTGCAGCGTGGCCTTCTGGGAATCGTAGTTGTGCGGATCCGCCTGCGCTGGCGGAGGATGAGGCTGCGCGCGCAGCTCTGGCGCCCCCCCCCCCCCCCCCCCCCCCCCCCCCCCCCGCACTCCTTGCTGGCCTCGCGGTCTTGGAGCCGGCTGGCCGTTTAGGTGTGTCATGGCTCTGGACCCGGTGAGCGAGTGTCCGCGCTCCCGGCCCTCGTCGGTACGGCCGGCCCTGGGCTGGGGGAAAGGGGGAGCGGGGAGGAGGGACCCTCGGGGATGGAGGGAAGGAGGCTCTTTGAGATGGGGGGCGGCCTGTCGTGCTAGGGGGAGGGACCCTCGGGGATTGGGGGAAGGGCAGCCCTTCTGGAGGAGGGGTGTTCTGGGGGAGGGAGCCCTCCGGGATGGGGGCCTTGAGAGAGGGGGAGTCATAAGGACCACCCCCCTTCCCCTGGTACATCCGAGGATTTCAGGCTGAGGCAGGGGACCCCTGGGGGGATCTTAGAGTCACAGATCTAGAGCTTAAGGGACGTGCAAGATACACCTTGGTGTTACAGATGAGGAAACTGAGGCATAGAGAGATGAAGCAAATGACCAGGACTCAAACTCAGGCCATGTGACCACCAGTGCAGGCACAGCTCCACTCCAGACACCCCCATGCCCCTCACCCCATACACCTTTCCTGTATCATGGAGCTGAGCCCCAACCCACCAGGACCCGCCTTGACCCTTCCTAGGGGTGCCAGGCACACACTCGCAGGCACCCCCTTCTCCCCCGACCTCCTGTGTTCTCATCTGTAAACTCGTCACCAGTACAACACTCCCCAGACTGACCTTGTACATTTGTTGTGGAGGGGAGTGCTTTGTCTGTCTTGAATTCCCAGCCAGCACATCCTACTCCCTTCTTGGTATGCCCCAAGCAGCTGAGAGATCCTTCAGTGAGAGTAATAGGCCTGGCTTCTGCCTGTGACATTTGCCTCTCTCTTCGAGGCTTGGTGGGCTTGCCACAGGCCGGGGAATGGTGTAGGTTCTAAACCTGGAAGCCACCTTGCGATGTCTACTCCAGCCCTTCATTTTACAGAGGAGGAAACTGAGGCCTTAAGAGGGGCCCTGGGCCGCATAGCTAATGAGTGGCTGAGCTGGAGTGACAGCCCGGGCCCCTTGCTCATAGCTCATCGTGGCAGATAGACTCTTTAAATCACTCCAACTCCTGACATAGAGACAAGATCAATCAATGTAGGTTAGGAAATACTCAAGTAGACTCTGGACATCACTTGCAGAACAAATGAATGACTTCATCTGGGAACTCCAGGGACCATAGTGTCTGCTTTTGCACAACAATTGTGGAACAGGAATGGCTCCCTTTTATTGATTATCATAAAGAATCATTTCAGATAATAATAGCTCAAAACTCTATGCCCATTTCATGTTGTCAGTAAAGAAATTGAGCCCTCAGTGACTTGCCTGTAGTCAGGGTTGAGACCCAGGCCTCCTGCCTTTTGACTTCTGTAGCATAAACAGACACTGGGCAGGGACAGAAGGAGGGGAAGGGAGGCTCAGCAAGCCAGCATAGATCGTTTTAGTTTGGGGCTTAAGTCATTGCTTTCCCATCAGTTCCTGCCATTCCCTCACAGTTCCCTTTCTGGCTAGATAGAGTATAGCTATCTTCCAGCCCTTATAAGGGAGAAGAGCAGATGACTTTGGCAGTCAGCAGCTTTGCATCTCTTTCTGTTTGGGCCAGCTTTGTGTGGTGTCCCTGTGGGAAGATACAGTGTCTGTATGTGTGTATCTGGGCCACTTTGAAGCCACTTTGGACCTCATTTAGCAGCAGGACAAAGATGTTACTTGGGGACGACTTTTTGTCCAACTGTATATCCAAGAGCCTCGGCAATTTCACCAGGACCTTGGAATAAGACTGTGGCCAGAACTGCAGCATACTTTTTGCTGACTCCTAAACATCTTTCCCCACAGCAGTGTTTAGTAGAGTATAGAGGTGCTCAGCCTGAGTCTGAAGGGGACGAGCCCCCTGGTGGGGACAAAGCTTTGAAATACAGAGTAAAGGACGCTGCTGGAGAGTTGCTGTCCCCGGGGGACGTGATGACTGTGGTCGTCCCAAAGCCCCGACTCCTTCCTCTGCACAAACAAGAAAATGTCCTGAGACTGGATGCCCCCGTGAAGCAAGAAACCGTGCTGGGTGAGGAGCCCTTGGACCCTGAAGCTTCTCGTCAGAATTTCAGGCAGTTCCAATACACAGAAGTGACCGGGCCCCGTAAGGCCCTGAGCCAGCTCCGAGAACTCTGCCTGCAGTGGTTGAGGCCAGAGATTCATACAAAGCAGCAGATCCTGGAGCTCTTAGTGCTGGAGCAGTTCCTGACCATCCTGCCCCTGGAGATCCGGGCTTGGGTGAAGTCCCAGCGTCCAGACAACAGTGAGGAGGTAGTGAACCTGGTGGACAACTTGACCCATGTGCTTGAGCTAGGAGGTGAGTATTCAAGAAGCACAAGCAGTCAGGGAGATAGAAAGGAGGACTATTTCCTGCTGGCAGGGAGGCCAACCATTGACAGTATTTGGAAACTGAGCGTGGGTCCACTCTATGAAATCGTCCAGCCTAATGCTTACAAGTTTTCTGTGCACAGCAACCCGTGGTCCTGATGAGTGGGAGAGACTCTATTTTCCAGGTTGGGTCCTCCCTTTTGGACAGAGTATGGATCTGGAACTGGAAGGAACCTTGAAGGTCTTCTAGGCTAGACATAGCTGAATTGCCTACCTTACCTGCATATAACCCCAGAGAAGGGGTCCTTCCAAAATCATGTGCCACAATCCCACTCGTGAGTAGATGCTGTGAAAAGTGACTTTGACCACATGTTACATTTATGAAATATTTCATTTTCTTCTCCCCAGAGTCCTACGAAATAGGTCGTCTGTAGTTATCCCCATTTTATAACTGAGGACACTGAGGCACCAAATGCTACAAGAGCTCACAGTCACATACCTCCTGACTAATTCAGGATTAGCACCCAGGAGTCCTGATTCCCTTCCCATCACAACTAAACCATATCACACCTCTGTTAGTAAAGTCTTCTGAGTATATGTGGTTGTTTTCTGTAAACTTTGCATATTTATTCCACACTTATTTTGCAGATTAATGAAAGGACCTAGACCTAGAAAATACTTGGTTATATGAAAGTGACTGAAACGCAGAAGGGTGCAGCATGTTATATTGAAAAGACTGGACTCAGTAATCAGGAGACGTCCAGGTGTGAATCTTGCCCCAAATACTTGCCGGATCTGTGACCTGTGACCGTGGTCAAGTCATTTATTTGTCTGTGCCTTGGTTTCTTCATCTCTACAGTACAAATAGTAATCTTAGTAGTATCTACCTCAAACAAATACCATGAGCATCAAGGAAGATAATGTATGTGAAAGCCATTTCCAAACATAAAAACAGCTCTTATTAGTACAGATCACCCAGCATATTTAGGGGTAGAGCTGTGAATGATCCCCTCTGCCAACCCTGATTCTTGGGCCAGAGATCATTTCTTTGAAACCTGCTGAGACCACAGGGAAAGAACTGGAGCCCAAGAAAGCAATTTGTATAGTCTGTCTTTCTAATCCTAGGAGAAGATGGAGCTGCTGTTCTGGTCTTACGAATTTCTCAGTCTATAGAAAGTGGGGAAATGATACCTGATTAGTGGGTGGGGATTTCTGGCTCCTTGAGTCCCAGCAGGACTGGGCATCTTCACAGCTCTTTCTCTCCTTCAGCTCAGCCTTCTGGAGGCTCAGGTCTTTCCCACCAAGGCACCACAGGAGATGAAGAAAAGCCCAGTGTTCTCTTGCTCACCAGTTCTCAGGTGAGTCCCACAATGCCTCTTCCATTTCCAAGTTGTAAGCTTGTTCTTTTCCCTCATCTGTAGGCTCCCTGTCTAGCCATATCTCCAACCAATGGAGTGGGTCTGAGCCCCTGGAGCCCTAGGGAGTGCCGGACCGAAGAATGCTCCCTGCTCATTGAGCCTCTAACAGCTAATGTGCCACCGTGTGATTGCTGACCAAAGTCTCTGTGGCCTGTGTGCCTGAATGAGTCTGACTGTGACCTGGGCCCTGGGCCCTGGGCCTCTGCTGCTACTGAGGACTTGGAAGACTTGGTTTGTCATCCCCAGAGTATGTTTGGAAGGCCACATTCTAGAACCCAGTAGCTAAGCCAGCCCCAGGGCTAGCAATGCAAACTCTTTTTAAAAACATTTTAACTCTTATATTCTTTCTTTTAAAAATGTTTTTATTGATGTCTTTTGTATTATATCTCATTTATGAATACATCCCTTCCTTCCTCTATCCAGAGAGTCTTTGAGGGAAAAAAATATAGATAGATAGATAAATAGATAGATAGATAGAGATATATTAGCAAAACCAATGTACATATTGACTGCTTCTGACAGCGTATGCAGTATTCCTCATCCACAGTCCTCCCTACCTGCCTCCATACCCCCCAAAACACACACACACACAATGAAGAAAGGGAGCTGCATTTTCCTGAGTCTCCTTGAGAGCCAAGTTTAGTAATTAGCATTCCACATTCTTCAGTTTTGTCTTATTATTATTTAATATTATTTCTGTCTACATTTTTGTAGCTATATATATTATTTGCCTGATTCTGCCTTAGTTTATATAAACCTTCTCATGCAGCAGAAACTGTTTAGGCCCATCGGGCCTGAGTCAGCATCCTTCTTTTGGTGGGTACAGTAGGAATTTGAGTCCCTCGACCATCATGAAAGTTCTCCACCCATTCTCTTCTTGGGGCTTTTTGTGCTGCTGCAGAGCTAGCCCTTTACTCCGGTTATGATTCTGGCCTCTTGAACCCTGTTCCTAGCCTCAGGACTTTAGGGTCAGGATCTTTTGAGGATTTGACCATCACAGGACATCACATTGAAAGTCCTCATGTATTGGGTACTAGAACAGAAAGCTGTGTGCAGTAGGGCCTACCATCTTTTCCTTGGTACTTCCAGTATCCCACCTACCTTCTGGAAAACCCGTAAGTATGCATGGTGTTCAAGGCTGTGATGATTTCTTTCTCCCAGGATGGATGGGGACAGATGAACTCTTCACAGACAGACACATATGAGGATACAAAGCAAGAAAAATGTTGGAACCTCATGTCATTGGGTAAGAAAGGCTTGCCCTAGTGTTTACAGTATCCCAGTGGATCATCTTTTATTTCTCAGTTTTCTAATATTTTTAGAACCTATGAAATTCTTAGTTGAACACACGCAAATATTCCATTCAGCAAACCTCAGTGGGTGCTGGCATACAGCATGTGCATGGATAGGTAAATAAAGGTAATTCAGGAGTAGGAAAGAATACTAACAATGGAAGGCTCTGGAAAGGCCTAGAGAGGGTGATCCTGGAGCAGAGCCTTGAAGGAAGTGAGGGATTCTGGGAAGGAAGGAAATAAGCAGTTATTAAGCACCTGCTGTGTTCCAGGCCCAGTGCTCAAGCTTCACAGATCCTGTTTCATTTGATCCTCCCAGCAACCCTGCAGGGTAGGTACTGCTTTTATCCCCGTTTTTTACAGTTGAAGAAACTGAATCTGATAGGTTCAAGGACTTGCCCTGAGTCACCTAGCTAGTAAGTGTCTGAGGCCAGACAGGCCTAGCACTCTTGTGTTGTAGGGTGCCCCAGCTGCCTCTCTTAGTTCTAGACAGGAGAAGAGCCCATGAAAAGGCGTGGAGATGGGAGAGCTAGTCTGTTCAGGGACAGTTTGACTGGAACATAAAGGATATGAAGACAGGTGCTGTGAAATCAGTCTGCAAAGAGCCTACTGTGTGTTGGGTTCTGTGCTAAGCACTGGGGATACAAAAAGAGGCAAAGACAGTCCCTGCCCTCAAGGAGCTTAGAATTTAATGGGAGAGACAACATGCAAACAAATGTATACAAAGCTCTATACAGAATAAATAGAAAATAATTAAGATGGTGAAGTTGCCCAGAATGAAGAGGGATTAGGGAAGGCTTCCTGTAGAAGGTGGGATTTAAGGGCTTTGAAGGCCAAACAGAGCATTTTGTATTTGCACCTGGAGGCAAAAGGGAGTCACTGGAGCTTGTTGAGAACAGGATGATGGGGTCAGATCTTCGATTTAAGAAAATCACTTTCCTGGCTGAATGAGGAATGGACTGGAGTAGGGAGAGACCTGGGTCAGCAGACCCACCAGCAGCTATTGCAGTAAACCAGGCATAAGGTGATGAGGGCATGGCCCAGGGTGTGGGCAGTGTCAGAGGAGAGGAGGGGGCAAATTCGAGAGAGGTTCCAGAGGTGAAATTAACAGGCTTTGGCAACTGCTTGTATATGACGGAGTGAGAAAGTGAGGTGTCCAGGATGACTCCCAGGTTGTGAGCCTGAGGGCCTGGGAGGATGGAGTGGAAGGGGTGGTTTGAAAGGGAGTTGGAGATGTGAGACTGGAGGTCAGCAGATTGGGGCAGGAAAGGTAGATTTCAGAATCATTTGCATAAAGGTGGTCATTAAATCCATGGGAGCTGATGGGTGAAGTGGTATGGAGGGAGAAGAGAAGAGGACCAGGCCAGGGCCCTGGGGGACACCCAGGGTTGGAGAGAGTGATCTGTAAGAGGATTCAGCAAAGGAGACAGAGAAGGAGTGGTCAGAGAGGTGGGGGAGAACCAGGAGGGAGTGGGGAGTCCTGAAAACTTAGAGAGAAGAGAGTGTCAGAGAGGAGAGAGTGATCCACAGCATCAAAGACTGCTGAGTGAGCAAGGAGAATGAAGATTAAGAAAAGGTCATTAGATTTAGCAACTAAGAGATCATTAGTGACTCTGGAGAGAGTAGTTCTGGTGGAATGATGAGGTTGGAAACCAGATTGTAAGGGGTTAAAAAGAGAGTGAGAGGAGAGAAAGTGGAGGCACCTGTTGTAAATGGTCTCTTTCAGAGTTTAGCTACAAAAGGCAGAAGAGAAATAGGATGACAGTCAGCAGGAAGGATCAAGGGAGGGTTTTTTCAGGATGGAGGAGACATGGACATGTTTGTAGTCAGGAAGAGATTGAAAATAAGTGAAAGAGTGGGGATGACCGGGGTGGGAATCTCCTGGGGGAAATGGGATGAAATGTAATCGCTTAAGCAGGTAGAGGAGTTAGCATTGGTAAGGAGTTAGCATTGGTAAGGAGTAAGGCCACTTCATCACATGAATCACATGAGACAGGAGTGAAGGGAGGAGAGAAGGGCAGAAGGCACCTGAATGATCGGAAATGAGGAAGAGGGGAGAAGAGGGAATTCATGGTGAATGGCCTCAATTTTTTCTGTAAAATATGAAGCAAGGGTGTCAGCTGAGAAGGTAGGGGGAAGGGGAGTAATGGGAGATTTGAGAAGGACTGAAAAGGTTTGGAAAAGCTTCTGTGGAGAGTGAGAGAATGAGTTGATGAGGAAAATAGAGTAGGATTGCCTAGCAGCAAGGAGAGCCCTGATGAGGTTACGTAACATAAATTTTGTAAAGGACCTACTCAGAATGGTTGCATGGTTTTCTCTACCTTCGTTCAGCAGCCCATATAGGAGTGAAGAAAACAAGTGGTGGGAGTGATCCAAGGCTGAGGCTTGGCTGGGTATAATCAGCCATATGATAAGGGGGCTGGGGATTGAAGAGAGGAGGGCAGTATAGAGTTAAATTGGTTTACCAAGGAGTCAAGATGAGAAAAAGAGGAGCGAGTGACTAGTGCAGGAGAGATGTCCTGGGAGGAAACTGAGAAGTCAAGGGATTGGAGGTCATAGTGTGGATGAAGAGTAGGGTTTGGTAGAAGAAGGAAGAGGGAGAGGTGAAAAGCCGATGGATAACGGTTGGACGTCAGAATTCTTGAATGTAAAGGTAGTACTTTTGTACAATGTCAAGATCAAGGGTGTAACTATATTTGTGTGTGCCTGAGGTGAAGTGGAAGAGTAGTTCATGGGAGGTGAGTAGGTTGTGGGTGTTGGAGGGAGAATCAATATGTATGATGAAGTCTCTCAGAATGGGGGCAGGAATGGGGGAAGGGAGAAAAATTGTGAGCCAGCAAGGAAGGGAAATGACTTGGGGGGTTGGCAGACCACAGCTCCCAGGATTTTGGTTGAGTGGTAGATAGAAATGGCATGAATCTCAAAGGAACAGAGGTTGCTTAGTGAAGGAGAAAGGGAAAAAACAAGTAATGGGGAGCAAAGAGCGTTCCAATTTCTCTGCCTTAAACAGTGATCCAAGGAGAATGAGTGAAGATGCTGCCAGTACTGCAAAGGATGGCCAGGAAGGCTGTGTCAGCAGGGAAAGCCAGGTTTCATAAGAGCTAGCAGATGGAAGGAGTGGGAGAGGAAAAGATTTAAGATGAAGGGAAATCTGTTGCCTGTGCAACAGGCATTCCAGAGGGCACAGTGAAAGAAGCTCTGGGTACAGTTAGGTTGAAACTTGTAGTGAGAGGGTTATGGGGCATAAGAATGAGGAATCAGGTGGTAGATGGTGTGGATGGGTTGGGATGGTGATCTACAGGAATTCCGTGTCCCTGGGATGTGAAGGGCATGACCGGGGTGAGAATATTGATCATTGAGTAGAGTAGAGGGCACCACTCCCCCTGCCCTCAGAGGACAGGCGCAGCTGGAGAGGGGAGGACTGGAGTTGAAGGGGGGATTGCTCTTCTTTGCCCCAGGGTTCTCCACATCCCAGCTGGGAGATTGGGCTGGAAGCAGGAAGTGACAGATGGAGGACACTCAGCCCAGCCAATAGAGCCTTTACTCAGGGGGCCCACTGTGCCCAGCGGGAGAAGGAAGGCCCAGGGCACTAGTGCAGGGAGTCTGAGGAGGCTGGTTATGAGGCAGATGGAAAGTACATGGGAGTCAGACTGGGGAAGCCCGAGTGCCAAACATGGGAGAGTTGGGATCTTACAGATACGGTCTCATTTGGTCTTCACAACAGCCCCAGGAGGCAGGTGCTGTTATTACCCCCATTTACTAATAAGGAATCTGAGGCAGACAGAGGGGAAGTGACTTGCCCAGGGTCACCCATCTAGTCAGTGTCTGAAGCCAGATTTGAACTCAGGTCCTGACTTCAGGGCCAGCTCTCTACGCGCTGCCAGAGCAGTTGAGATACTTATACAATCATAGGGGACACGATCCAAGAAAGGAATCAGGTCACAGAGTGTAGCAGCAAACGTGACATCAAGGTGCTCACTGACCTCTTGGGCAGGAGTGTGCTTTGGGGAAAGGGACACAAGAAAGAGCGACTGTAATTCAGAAGAATCAGGCATGGTCAGAGTGGCCTGGGGTCTCCTCAAGACCTACCCCTGTGGGCCACGTGGACTGAGGTGCCACGTCCTTGGGGGCCCCCAGACCAGTCATGCAGAAGTGTTGAGGTTTGCCAAGGGGAGGGGGGACCGGACTTGTTCTGCTTGGCCTTGGCAGGTGGAACAGGAGACGGCTTAGAAAGTGCAAAGGGGCTCCTGGAGGCTTGATCTCAGGAAAAACTTCCTACTAATTAGAGCTCCCTGCAGTGGAGCTGCATCCTTTGGGGCCTTCAAGCAGAAGTTAATAATAGGTGACTCATAGAGGCTGATGTAGAAAGAATGAGTGTTCATATCGAGGCTGGGCTCTGGCCTCCAAGGTCCTTCCAACCATGAGAGGAAGGATAAGGGAGCTTCCCCTTCAGCCTGGGGCAGGCAGGGGCCAGGAAGGTGTCACGGAGGAGGTGGCTGCTGAAAGGGAAGGTTTTCAGCAGGCAGGGAGGTAGAAAGGGCAGCGCCTTCTGCTGATTTTGATTTAGTGCAGTGCCGGGCACATAGTAGGTGCTTCATAAGTGCTTGCTGACTGAGTGCCTAATTGAACCTCTGCCCCCTCTTGCCCACACCTAGGGGTGACTGTGAGCCCCTTCAGAGAGCTCCTTCCTTTCGCCTTCCTGGCTTGTCTTCCCCAGAATCACCCTTCCCTTTCCCCCACATCACAAGATTGAGGACAGAAAGCTCTGCATTCACATGACCATGTTCACTTCCTCCCCCCAGGAGTTCCAGTTCCCAAACCCGATGTTATCCCTGAGTTGGATGGAGGGAAAGAACCACGGATCCTGACTGTACAAGGAACGGAAGAGCCCCTGGGCCCAAGAGGCAGCTGTCCAGGTATTGGAGTGAGGGCTGATTAATATGCATGGAGTTTAGAAGTGATCATTGATATGACAGCGTCTCTGATCTACTACCCAGGGACCTCTCCTCAGTCTCCGCCATCCTGTAGAACCAGGTGACCATGGAGGCATTTGGTAGAGATCCTCGTCTGTCCCCTCTGCTTGGGGGTCACCATTCCTCGATCACTGTTTCTTCTGTTGTCAGCCAATAAACATTAAGTGCCTACTGTGTGCTAGGTACTGTGCTAAGCACCAGGGATCCAAATACAAAAATGGACAGTCCTTGCCTTCAGGGAGCTTGCAGTCTAGCGTGGTTCTTACCACACAGAAGGAAGCTGAAGGTCAGCAGTGAAGGGGAGCCAGGGAGTGATAAGTCCGGAGTCCCAAGGCTGATGGGACCTTGCTGCATGATGAGGTTTTCCCAATAATGAGCCCCCTGGGGCCCAGGGGAGAAGTCGGAGCAGTCCTAAAGGAGGGCAGCCCGTTTCTTTATCCCTCCCCAAGTCCTCACAAGGTCTTTCCCACCTCATCTAGTCCTGCCTTCTCCAGACTCCTGCTTGTTCTCTGCTCCTTCTCTCATATTCCTGCTCCTCAGCAGCCTTCCTGGAAGGATTCCAATTCCCTCGAAGGCGGGGCTTCCCCCTGCCCGTCTTCTTATCCTTTTTCCATGTGGAACGTGGTCACGGCTATGACTTTGTTGGGAGGCACGGTTTTCAGTGTCTGTCTCTCATTTCCATGAGTAAAAAACTCATTTTTTGTTTCTTTCAGCCTGGGAGACTAGAACAGAGGTCACGGAGCCAGCTGCTCTGGAAGATTCTTCTGAAGCAATAACTCTCTCAGGGTCGGTAACCAAAAGGCCCAGAAGGAATATTGCCCCGAGTTCCACCTTAAGAGAAGTGGGTGAAAATGAGGACAAGTTAGGGAGACAGAAGGTCAGCCCTGCTCGAGTGAGTCCCAGGAGGGCCTTGTTCCCGAGGAGTTTCAGGAAAATGACATTTTCCCCCAAGATCACCTGTGGGGAGAGTGGCCACGAACTGGACGGAGCCTGGAGAGCCTTCAATCCAGGCTCAAAGCTCGACCCCCATCAGAGGGGCCCAGCAGGAGAGAGACACCGCACACTCGGTGCACGTGGGAAAATCTTCAGGCAGTTTTCAGACCCAATCAAGTGTAAGAGAATTCGTGTAGGTCAGAAGGCTTATAAATGTAAGGAATGCGGGAAAACCTTCAGTGACTGCTCGACCTGTATCCGCCATCAGAGGATCCACACCGGAGAAAAGCCCTACAAATGTAAGGAGTGCGGGGAAGCCTTTACTAGAAGCACATCCCTTATTGAGCACCAGAGGACTCACACTGGCGAGAAGCCCTATGACTGTAACGAGTGTGAGAAAGCTTTCACGCGGCGCTCATCCCTTATTAAACACCAGAGGGTTCACACTGGTGAGAAGCCCTATGAATGTAGCGCATGTGGGAAGGCTTTCAGTCATGGCTCAGCCCTCATCATCCATCAGAGGATACACACTGGAGAGAAGCCCTATAAGTGTAACCAGTGTATCAAGGCCTTCAGTAACAGCTCAGCTCTCATCAGGCACCAGCAGCATCACAATGTATAGCACAGTCATGGTCTTGCTGGGTCTGTTCTGGATGCTGATCCCGATGCATGTTCTAGACAGGAACAGTCACATTGCTACTTCTGCCTTCAAGGACCCATGGAGGCCAGGCCCATGATGGGCCTCCCCTCCCACAGAAAGGGAACAGGAAGCCCCTTTGCTGATCTTTTGTGCCTGTCCTCTCATCAGATTTCTTGTGACCTACCTGCCCTCCAGATCACCTGCTTTGGGGATTTATCATCTCCTGGCTTGGGTTCCCTTCTGTCACTTATGTTTGTAGGTGCCCTCTCCCTGATGTTTGTGGTCCCTGTGCTCATGGAGGAGGCTCTCAAGAATAACCCCAACTCCAAATCTGTTTGAATCTCCTGATTGACTAGTGTCTCCCTTCCTATTTCTTCTAAACTTGGTCACTGCTATTCCATGTGTCCAGTGTCTCAAGCTTGGCCATTTGTCTCACCATCCTCTCCCTTGGCCATTGCACCCATTCTCGTGAATTCAATGATCATTCTCTTTGGGGGGGGGGGGAACGTGCATGTGCACACATCATGGCAATCTCTCCCCAACATCTTGTCTTGCATTTCTAGCTGCCTCCTGTACAACTCCACATGAATGACCCACCAAAGCCTCAAAAAGATATTTCCAAAACCCAAATCATCTCCCCCTAAAAACCTACCCTTTCAGAGCTCTCTTTCTGCTTATAATCCTACTGTCCTGCCAGCCTCACAGCTTTGAAATCTTGATGTCTACACTGCATGGTGGAGAAAGTGCTGGTTTTGGAATCCAGAAAGCCTGACTTCACGTCCTGCCTCTGATTCTCACTAGCTATGTGATGGTGGACAAGTCAGCTATAAAAGTTGAAAACCATCCAAGGAACCAGTCTCTCAGGCATGATGAGATAATTAGGATCAGGGGTTAAAACGTGGAAGTAGGCCAAGGATTCTTGACCATGGGGCCATTCTTTTTGTTTTTTTAATGTTTTGATAAGTGTTCCAGTATAATTGGATTTTATTCATTTTAAAACCTTATTCAGAGGAGAAGGCCAAGTCTGGTCCGACCTTCACAATTAAAGCTGAAGCAGCAGGTGCAGGGTAGTCAAGGTCTGTGTGTAACCAGTGGACAAGCTGGGCTGTCGTGTCTAGCTCTTGGCACAGAATGTCCAAGTGGCCGTGGGCTCCAGGAAGTGGGCTCGTGCCCGTTTTAACTAAACGGAGCAAAATCAAATGCTTTCCTTTGTTCTTCACCTTCTTGTCCGCTGCATTCATGGATCCTAGAGGCCTCAGCCAACCCCTTCATTTGACAGATGAGGAAACTGAGGCCCAGAGATGTGAAGTCACTTACCTAGAGCCACACAGTAACAAGCATTCAACCCCAAGTCCCTTTGACCCCAAAGCCAGTGGCTTCCCAGGGGATGGCAATGCCGCTCCTATCCACTGTCCATTCGTTTTTCAATGCCATGGTGATGGATAAGTTCCCTGAGCATCCACCGCCATCTCTTTAGACAAACCCCCTTTATCTTCCTCAGAACTGTTTCTCTTTGTTTCTTCAAAACTTCGTTATCGAGAGCTTCCCATGCCTTCTAGGCAAACTGGTGTCAAATTTGAGTCCTTGGGATTCACCCGTTCTTTCTCTGAGCAGCCCTCTGAATGTGTTCTGTCCCAAACATGGGGTGAATGGCAGCCTCTGTCCTTCCTCCTCACCCTGCCCCTTGTTGGTGAGGATGGCGTCCAGAATAGAATTTCCCCTCATTGCTCCCTCTGCCTTTCGAAGGAGGAAATTGCCAAACGTCCAACGAACGTCTGCTCTGGATTCAAGCAGATAGACATCCAGGGAACTGAAGTTGCCTGTCCCTGCTGAAGTGCCTCTGCGGCCTGTGATCTGTACCCCAGCCTCCTCTGGGTTTTCCGTCTGTCCAGACCAACAGCCTTCACACAAATGCGGTCCACCTTCCCTCCCCATGCCCCAGAGTTCCTGGATTACTTCCTTCCTGCACAGAGACTTTCTCTAACGTAAAATGTAAGCCAGCCCCTGTAATCTACCTTATTCTTTTTTTTTTATTAAGGCATGGGTCTTCTCCCACGGAGTCTAGTGATTCAACATCCCGTGTGACTTCTTGCTAGGATCTGTGGTTCATCTTACTCATTAGCAGTAGTTTGTCCATATGTGTCCACACATCCAAGGCCTGGGGTTTGGTACATGCTCCTTTCTGGGATTTTTGTCTCTGATGGACTTCCTTCTTGGTATCTACCAATACTGTTCCTTCTGGCTGGGTGAGTACACAGAGTCAGTTTTCCCACATCTCTTTCCTTTTCAGTATTAACGCCCTTGTGAGTGGATTTGCAAGACTTTAGGCTAACGCATTTTTGTCTTTACCTTTTTTATTTTTTTTACCCTAAAGGTAATGGACACTAAAAAATGAGAACATTTGCAGAGAAAAAGGATGATGTGTAAAAACATGAATCTGTTCCATGTAGCTTACTTTTTTAAAGGGATATAATAAATTCAGCCTGTTCCTTCCAAGTTGTCCCACTTGTCTTCATTTCCCTCTGAACTTCCTTCTCTTCTCTTCTGGGCATTTTTTAACAGATGCTTCAGTGACTCTTTTGGGTTTTTTTCTGTGGCCACCCTATTGCTAGCTCCCTTTCCTCCCCTGAACCCCCCCACCCCCCAAAATGAAAAGACAACATAATTCTTGTAACAAATCAGCTTAGCTAAGCAAATCAAAGCCACATATTTAGGCAGATCTATTCTTTGCAGCTCTTATTAGCTGTACTCCATCTCACTCCTATGTCTGTAAATCCAAATCTTGTTCTCAGATGCCAGCTGCCTATTCAATCCCCCAATCTCCTTTTCTCTTCTGAATGAATGTCTCAGCTTTGATAGATAGCAGTGATCAAAACACCACCTGTTACCCCTAAGACTAGCTAGATGGCATAGTGTTTAGAACACTGGGCCAGAGTTAGGAAGTCTTGATCTGACTCAGACACTTAGTAGCTGTGTGATTCTTAGCAAGTCACTTAATCTCTGTTTGCCTCAGTTTCCTCATCTGCAGAAAGGGGATAATAACAGTGTCTGCCTCCCAGGGTTGTGAGGGAGGCTCAAATGAGAGCATTTGGAAAGCACTTCGCAAACCGTAAGGTGCTATATAAATGTTAGCTATAATTATTTTAATTAAGTACTCAGCTTCTTGCCCAAGACCTTGTAATCGTTGGCAATGCTTTCTGGGTTCCCTTTGGAAATACAATTTGTGCTTTGTGAATCACCAGAAGTCACCATCAGGCTTGACGAGTCTTGGCCTTGACAAGTTCTCGCTCGCTCAGAGCTTGGAGAGTGTGATCTCTAGGAGAGAAGCCAGGAGATCCCTTCATTAACAGATTGAGAAATAGCAGCCTCCATCCCTCTGGTCACCTCCCACTCACTGCCACCCCCTTAGCGTGGGCCCCTGTTGCCTCTTGCCACAATCGCCTCCTAACTGCTCCGTGTCTGGCCTCCCCTCTCTCGAACCTGCCCTTCCCCCAACTACCAAAATAACTTTCCCTAACTCACAGGTCTGGTCTCAGAACCCGTCGGAGCATCCTGACCTACCTCTCCAGCTTTATGTCACTGCATCACACTGGCCTCTCCATTCCAGCCAGATTTGGCTCCCAGGTATTCTCTGCCCTCCTGGGCCTCTGTGTTCCTTCCTTCTCTCCACCTTGGAATTCTTTCGCTACCAGGCCCCATTCAGTTGCCTCCACCTCCATTAAGCAAGCTTTGCCCCTCTATCCAAAAGTGATCTCTTAAATTTTCTTACAGTGTTTACTTAATCTCTTTTACCCTCATGCCTCATCCACTTATTAGTATAACTTTCTGTTACCAACACATACACACAATTAGACTGTAAGCTTCTTGAGGGCAGGAACTCATTTTTTTATTCCCAGCGCTTAGCACAGTGTCTTGCACATAGGAGTTTAATAAAAGTTTATTCAACTGAATGTCTTTTTTTTTTCTTGTCTTCAGAATTAAATCTTAAGGGTGGAAACCATGTTCTAACCTTATCATTTATCTCCTGTAGCACCAAGCACAAAACGGGCATTCAAATGCCTGCTGACCAGAAGTTATCAATACCAGCTTTCCCTAAACCCCATGCCTTCATTCTATAGCTTTTCCAAAGCTTGTTCTCCTGAGGCTATCTCCTCTATATTTATCTTTCAATTAAGATAAATTTCTACCAGTTAAATCATTTTTTTGTTACTTGTTTACATTTGAGAAGTCGGCATTTATTAGATGACATGAAAACAGGTTTTAAAAGACATTTTCAATTGGCATATACAGGTATTGTATAATCATACTCAAGGGAGTTTTACATTTCTGATGTAAAACTGATGTAGTCATCAGATTCTGAATGCTTGGGTCAGACTCCAGTGTTCCTTTGGAGCCTCCATGGATGGAGCAAGGCTCTGACTGGGACTGCTGCCTCTGGAGCTCTGGTCGTGGGGCTTTATTATGGTAATTGGTGAGAACTCAGGATATCTCACCAGCCCCAGTCCCAACCGTGCTTTTTTATCTTGTCCATTTTCGGCCCTGCCACACAGCATATACCTCTCTGCCCCTAGGCCTCTCACCTGGACCCAGCTGTCTTTTGTAATTGTAATCAGATCAGCACAGTTACTGATTCAGAAAGAGATGTGTCAATTAACTGCTCTATTTTTCCACTCACCATCCTTACTTCCTAGATCCACTTTCCTGGCTGTCTCTCCCGTATTTGTGTTGTTCCTTACCACCTCACACACACACACACACACACACATACACATACACACACACGTACACATTAGACTATAAACTTCTTGAGGGTAGGGACTTTCACCATTGTATTTGTTTCCCCAGTGCTTGGCACAGTGCCTGACACATAGGTATTTAATAAATTCTTTTTAACTCATTTTATTCATTCATTTACCTATCTGGAGATCTGGGTGGGCATACACTTAGATTATGAGTATAAAAATGCCATTCATACTGAAGTAGCAATGAGGAAACCCTTTCACCTGCTTCGGGAGTCCCCTACATTGATCCAATCACAGCTCTCCATGGTTCTGACCCTAATCAGAGCTCTCCATGGTTCTGACTCTGCTATTCTAACCTGCTTCCTGGCAGGCACTGCCCTCAAAACTTGGCTTCACCACCCTTCTGCCATCAACTCTGCCATCACTGCTGAAAAACCATTTCTTCCTTAGCTCCTTGCAATCTGGCTTTGGCCCACAACTCCTAACTCTTAGCAAGGTGGTTTACAAGACCACCAGATGATTCCCTTCCAGCCAGACTACTTGTTTTAACAGTCCATGCCCTGAAAACTCCCTGCAGCATTTGACACTGTTGACTCCTGTGTGGGGGTTACAGTTGGCCCTCCCTCACCTGGAGCACTGTGGAACCTTAATAGTATCAACTCCTACCTCCAATATGTGCATAGCATTTTCAGCCTGAAGGGCAAATGAGAGATTATCTAGTCCAATTTAAGAGATAAGTAAACTAGGGCCAGTAGGTTAAGTAATAGGATCAAAGCTCTATTTAATGATGGAATTGAGGCTAGAACTTCATTCTCTCAAGAGCCAGTCCAGTACACTAACCTCAGCCATATGGTTCGTCTGTCCCTGAGCTCCTCCGATGCTCACTCCACACTCTTACATCTGTATGTTCAATGGTGTTTGTTATGCCTTCTCTTCCATAGGATTCTAGATTCTGAGCTGGAAAGGGGTCTAGACATTGTTTAGGAGAGCATGGTCATTTCCTTCCAAGGCTCCCTTCAAGCATGTTTATGTTATGATGGAGATTTCTTTCCAGTATAGGTTCAACTAAAGAGCTGCTGACGTCCTTTCCAGCTCTGAAATTCTGTGATTCTGTGCATTGGAGAAAAGTGCCAACACGGTGGGGAGTCAGGAAGAGGTCTTTAATTTCTCTGCCACATAGAAGCAGTCCAAAAGAGACATGACCTGGAATAAACTGGGAGATCTTTGCCTTGAGGAAGCTGGTCTTCGATTTCTTTGTCTTATCTGTATCTGGTCAGCAGTAACGGATGTTGGCTAAGAGGCAAGGAGATCTGTGGTGACCACTGCCTTTATATTCAGCCATGCAGTTGGCCAAATGGTTTCCCTACAATATCACTTATCTAAAGTGAGGTAATTGGTACATGAAGAGAGTTCTGCAAACATGGCAGCTGTCTGGGAAGGTCAGCTAGGGTATCATGATGGTGTTTCATTCTCACCACCATCCCCATTATTGGACACAGCTGGGGCCACTGTACTGCAGATCCTTTAAGCCCCATTTTACAAATGAGGAAACTGAGGACCCGAAAAGTGACTTCTTACCCATCATCACACAACTAGGAAGTGGTGATGGGAGTGCTGGCAGCAGGATTCTAACCCAGGTCTCTCCTACTTCCCAGTTCAGGGTTTTGTTGGGTTGGGTTTTTTTTTCCTGTTACACCACCCATGCATGCAGCCTTTCAACTAGTGAATCTAAAGCTCTGTCTGTATTGAGACCATTAGTGGGGGTCCCAGTATGGAGCTATGGCTGACAGATTGGGACAGGGGACAGGTAGAGGGAGCAGCCATCGATCAAAGGGATTAAGTGGAACCAGGGGCCTGGAGGGGCCAAAACAAGGTAGATAGGAAGTTGACCAGTTGTATATCAGTGAAGGATCTGGTTTCAAATCTCACCAATTACTATTGGGATGACTTGGGCAAATCGCTTTACTTTCCAGGGCCTCAGTTTCCTCATCTGTAAAGTGGAGGGGCAGGGTCAGCCTAGATGGTCTCTGAGCTCCCGACCATAGATCCTATGAACACAGAGCCTGGAGAGTGAGAGCTGAAAAGCACCATAGAGACAGTCTAGTCATTGCACAGACAAAGAGCCCAAGGCCCAGAGTGACCGTGACCTAAGATCACACAACTAGTAAGTGACAGCTAGAATGCAGGCCTCCTGAACCCTCGTCTAGGACTCTTTCCGTGCCCCATATTGCCATGTGCTCTCAGGGGTCCACCATAGAGAGATTTCACAAAGGGAAGAAGAGAAGAGAAGCAGGGAGAGGCTCCCTATGCGATTGGCCCTGACTCTGCACCTCCGCACCGCCCCAGGCCTAGGCCTGCTCTGCTCATCCCTTTCCCATCCGGGTTCTTGAGCGGCAAACATCTGCATCGCCGGCAGATGGCGATGAAATCGCACAGGTGAGCTCTGGGGCCCTAGCCTAGACTCATCCGCTGCACTTTGCAGAAGGAGGAGGAATCCAGGCTTTCCCCCATTAAAAAGAGGAATCTGGGGAGGATACCACCGGCAGCGTGAGTCTAGTCCCGGAAGAAAAAAACCCCTGGTGGTCTGTTCAGCTTTCCCGTCTATACAGTTGCCAGTTCTGGAAGGGCGGCATTAATAAAGGAGCTTGATCCTTGTCTCTCATCAGTTTGTCCTGAAACTAAACCCAGAAAATGTTCCCTCACCTTTCCCCGCTCCCCTCCCCCTAGAAGGCTGCTTGTTAATGGGGATAAAGTCAGGAAGCTTCAGAGTCAGGAAGACCTGGGGCCACCTTCCAAAGCTGCTTGGGAGGCAGGGAGGTGCAGGGCAAAGGACAAGGATTCTGGAGTCAGAAGACCCATGTTCAGACCCCATCTGATTCTGACTAGCTCTGAGACAAGTCGTTTAACTTAGATGGACATCAGTTTACTCCTCAGGAAAATGAGGGGTCAAATGGCTCCCAAGTTTCCTCCTAGTTCTATGACCTCTCTATGCCTCCACAAAACCCTCCTAAAATTGTCATGGAGGAATGTTCACAGGTCTAGATAAAGAAAAAAACCACCACAACTCTGTTTGAAAAAAGATGTTGTTTTTTGAGGTGGGTGTCGGGGGCTTCATGCCTTTTTCAGAACACTTGAAATTGTAGCCAGCATGGTGCAGGACTGGTACAGTCCAGAGAGACTGGGGTTGGAATCTTGCCTCTGACACTAGCTGAGGCTCGTTTCCTCATCTGTAAAATGGGGATAATAGCACCAGCAGCAGTACCTACCTCTCTCC